TGCATTACCAATACTTTATGAAGTCTAGACAGTTAACAGTAAATAAAGTCTTGATTTGTAGCTTTTTGCCAGTTTTTCAGATGTAAATGTTTAAGCTGAAAATTTAACAATCTGCTCTCACCTGCCACTTGGAGCTGGCTCCAGCACAGCCCTGGATAAAAGGGCAGAGGCAGTCTTCACCCTGAAGTAAATTCATTCATTTTACTGGACTTTTCATACTCAGTTAAGCTATTCTAGTCTCAGGTCCACTTGGAGTTGTGGAATGCTTCCTTATTTATATTTCTCTGGTTTTGCCCCTTCCAACCTTTACCTTTGTTGAAGCCAACAATAGATAATACTCTTACATTAATATTAAAAGCCTGGGGTGGGGCAGCAGGTTGTCTAAAAATGAAACTACCTTCAAGACTGTTCTGTAGTCAAAACTGAGAATAAGCTTTAGTATGTTTAGCACAGTTTTAATAATAAATGAGAAAAATCTTATCATCAATAACTATCATATAACTACCACTGTAGAGGGCCAGTTCTAGTAGGTTGGAGGGCTTAGGCCAGCCCGGATCTTACCTGCAGCTTGTACTAAGCCCAACAGCTGTGAAACTCAGGATGTCAGCTCACCACCCCCCTGTTCCGTCTCTTGAGAACAGGATGAAGGAAGGGAGGAAACGGATGGGGTACAGGACAGGACACAGGAAAGAAAGTAACAGACAAGGTACAAGGAAGTAAGGAAATCACTTAATTAGGTTTGTGCTTTTCATGGAAAATAATGTTACTCTTGCTTGATCCAGTACTATATAAGCCTGAACCCTCAGATCAATAAACAAAGTTTGTTCTTCACATCTTCCACCTGGCCCATGATTCTTTCTCTCTTCACACTCCGCCAGCTTCAGACCACCGCAGTGGACGCAGGCGCTGGCAGGATTTGGTGCCTAGACAGGGACCTGAAAGGAAGGCTTCCCCCAGCAGAGTGGCCTGGACAAGGTGGGCTGTTTGGCCAACAGCCCTAGAAAAGGAGCTCCGGTCATCAAGAGAAGATGGCTAACAAGATAGGGTGATAATTTTCCTATATAGTTTTTTATTTTCACCAGGTTAAGAGGGGATTAAAAAGAAATGAGACTGCCACTTTTCGGGGTCTCTTAAAGTGAAAGTGAACTTAAGAACGAGACTGCCGCTTTTCAGCATCTCAGATTTAAAGTGAAAGCAAACCACACAGGTGGGGAAAGCTAAAGTAAACTACAGGGGCTAAGAATGAGACTGCTGCTTTTTGGTGTCTTCAATTTAAAGGGAAAGTAAACCACACCGGCTAAGTAGTGTCCTATAAAATAGTTAGCTAATATGCGGCAGAGCTCATCGGCAGAACAGAGAGAAGAGAATATTGTTTGAAAGTGTTCGAATACAGGGGACACAACTGGAATTTCAGCATGCAAATAAGAACATTGTCATTCTTTAAATTGTCAACTGCATCTTTGTCATTTCTATTGAGAACAAACCAAGTGCCATTCTGCTACTGAAATCTCTGCATAAGATACCTGTACTGTCCAACCATTGCATTGCCAAGACTGTACTAATACCAACTTTGATTACACTAGGAAATGCCAGTGCTCAGTCTTTGTGGTGTTGCAATTTTCACATATTTGCTATTTTATTGATTATTGTTTAAAATAATAGTACTGTATGAGAACTTAATGATTGTATCTCGGAATTATTTTGTGTAGAAAATATACGTAGAAAAGTGGTTACCATGCTGCTGTCCTGTTCTTGTTAAAAAGTCCCATGTGTACAAGTAGAGTTTCCTCATGTACAAGAGTCCTTTTTTCAGGTAAATATTAATTATTCTTCAAATAACATTAAAACACTGCATAATTCTGGTAATTTTTACTTGTTTAAATAGAATCTACCAGTAGTTCTGGAAAATCTTTTTTGGTTTTCTGGGTACAAATTTATGTAACATATATAAAAATTAAAATGAGATTCATAAATATTCAGGACATTGGCAGCTGATCACATTTACAAAGTCAGTGTGTAAGTGAAGTTATTACTCCCTCCATAATGCCTTATGGACAAGCAGGAACTGTGATGTGAAGCTACATTGTATTTCCCATTTTATATAGGTCTCCCTATTTGATTTTATTCAAGTTATAGTATGTTCTGAAAAAGTTGGCCTTAGGTGTGTGTCATTGTGGCCTGCAAAGAGTTATGATGACTTTACATTAAATGTTAGAATTTGTAGTCATTATGGCATTAGAAATTTTTGTGGTTTTCAAGAGTCTCAGAGCAAATTGTATATTAACATTTTTTGTCAGCCATCACATTTCCAAACAGTATTTTTAAAAAACAAAGGTAAATGTGATTTGGCAGATGAGCAGACTAACCAAAATCAGTGGTTAAGGGGATTTCATTTTAGATCCTTTTTAATAATCAAAGAAAATGGAACATTTGCCTTATAGATAAAAAAAGAAGTTTTATTGAAGTTAGAGCTAAAATAGCATACTTAAGTTTATAGCTTTTGTAGGTACATGTCCTTTGCAACCTTCCATTCATTTAAGATCAGTTTGTAAATCAAGAGTTCTATCTTACGGTAATTGTACAAAAATAAAGCTTGTATCATTTTATCTACAACCACCATTTAGGTAACTTAAAAATTACATTGGAATTCAAAAAAGAGGAAAATTACTTAAGAAGCTAAGTTATATCAATAATTAGAAAACTTCAAGGGTAGGAGTAAATAAACTCTCTGCTTTAGAAATTTGACATGAGCAGTTTGTATGTTAAACACATTCTAATGCAGTATATGTATACTAAAATTTCCAGTAACATGTAGCTTGCAAATTTTCTGAATCACCTCCTTAGTACTAGTTATAATATAGCTAACATCTTAATATATTTTACAGTATATAAAAGGCTATAACTTCTTAAGTCCTTTTTAACTTATCTTTAATAAAACTTTTTGATTTAAAAAAATTATTTATTCCAACTTTGTTAGAATATTAATAGCAATATTTTTAGGCTTTCATTTGTCCTGGTGGTTCTTTGGGAGGGTTTGCAAGCAAATTAAACAAGTGAAGTGGGAAAGGGACCATTTATTTGTCTTTGAACATTTAGAAATAGATTTTTACCCTTGCCCAACAAAACCCTCTTGAATTCAGTAGATAACTAAAGAAATTCTTTTGCTTTGCAGCAGAGTTCTATTGCCTAACTCCCCTCTTGTATTAGAAAATCCAGCATAAATTTGTCATAGCCTGGTCAGTAGTTAAAACAGAACTTCAGAGTTGAAAATAATTTTTATTAATTAAACCATCAGGGAATCTTTTTTTAACTACAAATAGGAAACTTAGTTATTTCTGTGTTTTCTGCCAAGAAGCATAGCCTTAAACACATTTCTATACATACCTGATTTCTTAGCTACTTAAACTTATGCTGTTCTAAACATTACTTAATCATATTTAGTTGGCTATTTTTCTACTGAACAATTGCACAATGTTAGGGAGAGTCTTATTCTAAAATTCCTTTATTTCATATCAATGTGTGATTCATGTTTTTTAAGTGTAATTACAATGTTTATGTCAGAGTATGCAAAAAAAAAGTGGGGGAAAGATGAATATCATATGAAGACAAGCAGATACTTTGGATTAGTTACATATTTTAAGAAGGACATAAGCAATATCATTTCTTGTTTTGCTTTAGTATTCTTGGCAATCCAAGACACCTCAAGACTGACAAAGGTCCCGCCTATACTAGCAGGAATTTCACACAATTTTGTCTTACTTATAATATCACTCTCTCTATTGGCATCCCATACAATCTTACTGGACTAGTCATTGTTGAAAGGTGCAACAAGGATATTAAAACACTCCTTGATAAACAGAAAAAAGAGGGAATAGAAAATAGGTTAAGAAGGAGATTGGATCAGGTAATATACACCATAAATTTTTTGACACTAGATGATCAGGGATGTACTCCTGCACAAAAACATTTTGCAGGACAAAAGAACAGGTTGATAGATGAGCAACCAGATGTCACGGTAATGTGGAAGGATCCAAAGATGGGTAATTGGGATGGTCCAGTAAAATTACTAATCTGGGGTCAAGGTTATGCTTGTGTTTTTCCAGAACATGCAGGAGAACCAATCTGGGTCCCCAAGAGGAATATTCGCTCCTGTCAGCATACTGACCAGAGGGATAGAGAACCTGAGCATCAGAAGAAAAACTGGTCAGAGAGACAAGCGGAGGAGGAAGGCGAGACCAAGAAGACAAAGAGCCAATAATAAGATGTTGACTGTCCTTTTTGCAATGATGACTGTTGCGGGTATCTCTAGGGCGGAGTCAAGATTACATTGGACTTATATGCCTTACCCCCCTTGGGTTAAACCAGTAACTTGAAATGTGATTACCACTATACTTTTGTTTGTGTAACTCCCTATTTGCTTTCTAATACTACCAATGTAACTCCTGATCAAATATTGAATAAGCTTCATTCCAAAAATATAACATGGATGGTATTGATCCTCAACATATTGCTTATAAGATGTTGTACTGTGTCAAACAACTTAACACTTTCCAGAATATTTCAAGTTTGCTGTTGCATTTTGTACCCTGATAGTATTCTTGTTTCTCTTGAGTTTTCTCCTGATGTGCATCCCACGTTCTCAAGCTAGAACAGAAGAAAGGGGGAGATGTAGAGGGCCGGCTTTGGGGAGTTGGAGGACTTAGGCCAGCCCGGGTCTTACCTGCAGCTTGTACTAAGCCTGACAGCTGTGAAACTCAGGATGTCGGCTCACCACCCCCCTGTTCCGTCTCTTGAGAACAGGATGCAGGAAGGGAGGAAACGGATGGGGTACAGGACAGGACGCAGGAAAGAATGTAACAGACAAGGTACAAGGAAGTAAGGAAATCACTTAATTAGATTTGTACTTTTCATGAATAATAATGTTACTATTGCTTGATCCAGTACTATATAAGCCTGAGCCCTCAGATCAATAAACAGAGTTTGTTCTTCACTGCTCTCACCTGGCCCGTGATTCTTTCTCTCTTCACACTCTGCCAGCATCAGACCACGGCCGCAGACGCAGGCGCTCACAGCATACCACAACAGAGATCTCTATAAAATTATTTTCTAGGAAAGAAGGTTTTTCAGAAGATCAATTATCTAACAGTATAAGATAATAAAATCATAACAATTTTTGCATACTACATTAAACTGTAATTTGACAAGTTTGAAATGAAATTTCTTGCTTCCATAACCTAAGTGGAGCAATGGATAGAGCACTAGGCCTGGAGTCAGGAAGACCTGAGTTCAAATTCAGCCACAGACATTTACTATCTGTGTGATCCTGGGCAAGTCACTTAACCCTGTTTGTCTCATTTTCCTCATCTGTAAAATGAGATGGAGACAGAAATGGCAAACCACTCCAGTATGCCAAGAAATCCCCAAATGAGGTCACAAGGAGTTAAACATAACTAAAATGAAGTGATTTGCTGGTATTTGTTAATATTTACAACATCCCTATAAGATAGATTGAAAGTACAGATTTGTTATTCAAATATTCAACACCTCTGCTATTTGATACATGGAAAGATCAGTCACGGATCTCTGGTAGACCCTAATATTTAGCCCAGGTCTTTGATTCTTGGTTCTGTGCTCTTTTGTGCACTTGAAGATATACAAGAAGTAAACACTTTGTAACTAAGAGCCTGTGGTTTCCTCAGTGTGAGGCACCACTATGTGACTGACTTTTCCAGCTTTAACAAGATAAGAGATAACAGACATGCAATTCCACACTGAGCCCTACCCAAAGTATTCTCAGCTTGGTAAGACTTGCTAAAGTTTGTCTTCCACAGCAATAATTTTAAAGAACCCTAGGTCATCTCTACTCCATGATAAATCACGAGAGTAGGATTCTAATGTACTCATATTTTCATAAAGGGGTGTGTGTGTGTGTGTGTGTGTGTGTGTGTGTGTAAGAGAGAGAGAGAAAGAGAGAGAGTAAGGGCACATTGGTGCCTGTACTAAGCAAGTCAATAAATGTCCTTGGGCATCATTTTCTTCAACTACGAAATGAGGAGGTTGAATTGAATGTTACTCTGCCTGTAATTTTATGAATTAAAGAGTAACTTAAGTTAATGAACATTTTTGTTTAAGAATAGAAATAGGTTTAGGAAGAATAAGGAGTTGTTATGATGCCTATTAATACAAATTTATTCAATTGTATTACTTTCCTCTTAACATCTTGCTAAAACAGCTGCTTTAAGGAAATGAGAATTTTAACTAAGAATAGATGCAGTAGGCAAGTTTTTAGTATGGTAACTTTAAGGAGTAAGGCTTTAGTTGATGCTACACAGTGGGGATAGGGAAGGGAGTTACTTAGGGAGTATAAGATAAAGCCTACAGAGAAAGATAACAGGAAATGGAAGGTGAGTACAGATCGTTCTTACTTTATGTGAATTTGCGTTATATAAATTTTACTTTACATAAAGAATTTTAAAAGAAATCTCTATTCCACAAAAACAAAAACAAAAAAACCTATCTTAACTTTACAGTACTGTGTAAAGTGTCTCTCAGCTCCTGGCCCTCAGCTTGGTGTTCAATGACCTACCCCACCAAAAAAAAAAAAAACCCTTAAAAAAAAAACCCTCCAAGTGAAACTGGAAGAATGGATGGGAAGAGAGACACCATGGGCAAACAACTTTTGTTCTATTTCCCTCCCTTTCCCAGACCCTGTGCAAATTTGCATTACTAAAAACTGCTTTTAAATGGAGGTCTGCAGAAGGGTCCACTTACATAAAGTGAAAAATGCCTACCTAAAAAGAAAGATGTGAGGATGCCAAGAACAAACTTTCAGAAGTTTTCCTTGGGTCAGCATTTGTCCACAAAAGGGGGTGGAAATTCCTTTTCTTCTTCCCTTCTTCTGCTTCCTCCTCCCACATGTACCACATGATCCAAAACTCAGGCTGCTACTCTTACCTTATAGTTCAACTACTTCATAGATGAAATAAATTCACTTCTGTGTAAATCTAACCACCATCTATAACATTATTTCTAAAGGAAATTGTGTTCCAAATTCCAAATAAACTACTTATAAATGCAGTTTTGGAAGACAATGTTCATAGACTAGGTACTAGTTACATAAAAATGTTTATAATTAAGCATTTTATATGTTGCTTTTATTTTGAGAGTTCTGGGTTGAGTAATGCCACAATAAGTACAAATGTTTATCTCAATTCCATATAATTTGGTTGAGCCCTTCTGTCACACACTAGTGATTTTAGTATCTTTCTTTTATTTGCTCTGTATTTTATTTACTCTGATTGACTGCCTTGCCTATGACTCAGACACAACACATCTATACCCAAATGGAGAGTTATGTACTGGTAATTAAAAGGTTCCAATATTAAAGAAAAGGTTGGGTTAACCTGGTGATCAAGAAAACATTGCTTAGTGGGTGTCTTTTGCAAGGAAGGATTTTTTGTAATCTTACCAGGTTTTCTCTATTGTACTCATATTTCTACTAGGGCCTCTTTTTTACTCCCAAAAAGTTCTCAACTTTTTGGGTTCAAGACCCCTTTATACTTTTAAATATTATTGAGGACATCAAAGAGTTTTTGTTTATATTGGTTATGTCATTATTTGCCATAAATAGAAATTAAAACTGAAAAATGTTAAAAAAAATTTCTAGTAATTCATTGTAAAATAACAATTATAAATCTATTATATGCTAACACAAATAACATATTTTATTAAAAATAACCATATTTTCCAAAGTAAAAAAAGTGAGAAGAATCATTGTTTTACATTTTTTCTAAATGTCTTTAATGTATGGCTTAATAGAAGACAGCTAGATTCTCTTCTCTGCTTTTGCATTTGCTCTGTTGTGTATACTGTTTTGGTTGAAGTATAAAAAGAAAATCCAGCTTCACATAGATATGTAATTTGAAAAGGGAGGAGTATCTTAATAGACAAATAAACTTAGTATTGTTATTAAAAGTTTTTACCTTTAGGACTCCCTGAAGGGTCTTGGGAACCCACAGGGGTCCTCAGACCGAATTTTGAGAACCCTTGCTCTGGTCAAACCCTAAAACTGTGGCCAATATTGCTTCTTGGAGTTGTGAAACTTCCACCTTTTTCTATATATCACATATCTCTTTTAGCTGAAAATAAAGGTGGATGGAAAACTATCTCTGATAGTTTGCCCACCAATTTCATTTTTTAATCAACATTAGTTTTATCCTAAACCATAGTCTTAGTAAATAAATCACTGCACCTATTAACCCACATAGCACAGCTGATGGTGGAATCAGATGCATTAGGGTGACTAGGAGATCTGAGTAGCAACAAGAGCTTTACAGAATAGGGCCTATGATTTCCTGTGCAATCCTTGGCCTGGTATGACTGAATTATGAAGGCATCAAGCAGCATAGGATGGCGGACCATAATATGATAGAGCATGGCATAACATGGCCTAGAAGAGAAGAGAACAGGGCATGAATGGAAAGGAAAGTGAAGGAGAGAAGAGAAAATGAGGGAGAGAGGAACAGAAAGCTGAGGGAAAGGGAGCAAGGAAGGGAGAGGGGAAGAGAAAGAGAAGCAAAAGAGAGAAAGGAGAGAAGACACATAGCTCAGCATAGAGTCTTAGGGCTAAAAGCAACCTTAGAGATCAACTAGCTCAATCCCTTAATTTTGTATATAAGGAAATTGAGCCTGTGACAGGTTAAATGATTTACCCAACACATTACTAATTAATAGCAGGTCCAGCAACATCATAACCCTGGTAGCACATATGTTCCAGGGTTGCTAAGGATCAAATGAGATAATATTTGTAAAACACTTGGTACAGTATTTGGCACATAGTAGGTGCTTAATAAATGCTTGTTATCTTCCCTATTGTTTCATATATGGGGCACATTTTTCCTTCACATCTTAGTAAGGTGTCTGATTATACTTTTATTCACTTCCATTGTATTCATCGTGAAGATGGCAGTGATGATAAAAAAAAACCTTTTGTAAAAGGAGAAAAACTTGAGAGCAACATTTTAAAAGTTTTATTCTTTCAGTTTTACATTACCAACATTTACAGATTATGCCTGCCTCATGAAAGTACTCTCGTGACAAAATAAACAAATAATAAACTAATAACAGTGACTCACATGAAAATGCATGCAACATTCCACATCTGTAGCAACCCACTCTATTTTTTAGTTAATAAAAACCTATTTTCTCCCCTTCCTATCAACCCCTTTTCAAAAAAATGAGAGAAGAAAAATAAATTCACTTGGTCCCACAGGGGCTTGATCTCTGGGATCAAGGATCTGGACCAAACTGGGTGCCAATTTATTATTTTAACTATCACAAGGTATCATGGGATTTCTGGGGTACTCATCCTCTCTGAATTCTAATCAAGTCCATGAAGTTTGCAGAGCCCCCAGGTGTACCATAGCCAAGACCTACAATACTAGGGCCTGGCAGTTCAATTAAGGGTCTGGAATATGGAGGTGAGGTTTGGTCAGTCCACCTCACCCTCAGCAGTAAGAAGACTAATCTTTGCTCTCTGTTTGGATGCAACTCTTTGCCTTGGAAGCAGAGATGGAATTGATGATGCCCCCCTGAGCTGTACTGGCTTACCTATTCTCTACCTCTACCCCACATTGGTGATTAGTTTCTAATAGGTGGTCTGAAAGAGTGCTTGAGAGTTTGAGATAATTTTGGTCTTGGCAAGAGGAAAGGCTTGAAGCACAGACTGCTGAGTAAGTACAGATAGGTTGCTAATCACATTCTGTAGAGTTAATCTATCCCTAATGGTTGTGACCAAGCCCTCAAAAGCTGATACACCAGAGTCAGGGCATCATATACAAAGTTGTGACTTCAGATTTTATAATGTTCCCTGAGATGTGCTGGAGCTGGCAAGCCTGCTGGTTACAGATCTTGATTTTAACAAGATTGTTAAAAGTCTCCTTGACTTCCTACAGAAACCCCAAGGGCAGCAGTATAGTGTGGTAAAAAGAACACAGAATCTGGGTTCAAATGCTAGCTCTGTCATTTGCTAAGAATATAACATTAAGCAAGTCATTTACTATCCTCCCCTCCCCCATCTCAATTTCTTCATCATTAAATTAATTCAT